AGAAGTCCTCAGCGGGGATCAATAGGATGGACATGTTGACAAGCGGCAGGAAGGCAGGAGGTGGGAGTGTCTTGTCACCTCCTTGGTTAAGGCCTCTCAATGGCCTCTTATCCCTCTCAGAATAAAACTCAAACCCAGACAGAGGTCTGGAAGCTCCAGCATGATCCTGTGCTGTCCCACACAGTGGCCGCTAGGGACACGTGGCTATCAGTCATTTGAAACATGGCTGGTGTGTCTGAAGAACTGAATTTCTCATTTCATTTCATTTTAACGGATTTAAATAGCCTGCGCAGATAGAGAACGTTTCCCTCATCCCAGCAAGCTGTAAGGGACAGAATAGCCCACCTGCCTCCGTGTCCCTCTTGTGAGCACCTCCTCTCCCTCCCCATACTGGGCCACACTGGTCTGTCGGATCCGAGAACATGCCAGGCTTATGGCCTTTACGCCCATGGTTCCCTCTGCCTGGAGCACCATCCCCCCACTCCTGAGATGGGCAGGTTCTCTCATGCTTCAGGGCTCAACCCAAGTACCCCTCTCTATTCTGCACCAGCCTCTCCTTCGTGTCCCTCACAATACTTAGTATCATTTGTCATAATTTGCCAGCTCATTCACGAGTTTACTCTTTGTCTACCCCCTTAGAACGGAAGCCCAAAGAGAGCAGGACCCAGACTTTTTTCCTGGTTGTGTTCCCAGGGACGGGCATGGCGCGTAGCCCATGTGGCCACTCAGCACCTACGTAAGTGACTGGCTGAGAGGGCCCCACGCCGAGGAAGTAGCATGTGTGCAAAGGCAGAGGCAGGTGTCTGCACAGGGCAAGTCGGTGCAGGGCTGGTAGGGAAACGAAGTGATAAGGGAGACGATTTAAAGATTGGGGAGGCGGCAGTGTGGTTGGTTCATCAGGGGAGGTTATAAGGTGCCTGAGTTAGGTAGCCACTGAGGAGCCTGCTAGCTGACCAAAGGAACTCAGCTCGGAAAGGCTAGACAGCAGAGAACGGGGCCCTTGGGCACCGTCACTGTCCATGAAGTCCGAAGGTGCGTGGAACAGGGGTCCGTTACCAAAGAACAGGGCCAGATAAGGTGGCACCATGATTGCAAGCTGACGGGTCCATAAAGGAAGGTTAACTCTTCCAACTCCCTAGGGGTATCTGCATTAGTTTGGGATAGAGGGGGAAGCGGTCCAGTCACCTGGGCGGCGGGGTGGGCTGGAAGCAGTAGGAACCCCAGAGGCTCCTCTTAGCCTTCAGCTGGCCCAGCCAACCCCTCCTCCTCCCATCTCTAGATTGTAAGTTCTACAAAGGCAGGACTTTGTCTTCTTCACCACGGGAGCCTCCATGCCTGGGACAAGGCCTGTCACATAGTAGATGTTCAGTAAAGACTTGTTTAGGGGCGCCAGGTGGTTCAGGCGGTCAAGTGTCTGGCCCTTGATATCAGCTCAAGTCTAGATCTCAGAGTCGTGAGTTCAAGCCAGGCTGGGCCTGGAGCCTACTTAAAAATAAATACATACATACATATATGCATACATACTTGTTGAATAAATAAATCCGTATTCTATTTTTTTAATGAATGAAACTTGAGGTCACAGGGTGTTTTACTTCCAAGGGCACCGGAAGCCCTGAGTGTCAGGAGTGAAATCTGGATCACAGGTAGTGCTAGAGGGAAGGCAGCAAAGAGAATTAGAACCCCATTCGTGCTCATTCATTCTAACACCTTTGAGGATGGAAATTTCCTCATCTTATTTCAGAATCAAATCAAAATTAACTTCCTTCAAGATGCTTTTCCCAAACCACCCCACACCTTCTAAACTCAAATTAACCCCTACCCCTTAGAATTTTTTCATCATCTAAAAATATGTTCTGAAGGTCACCCGAAAGCATTTCAGAGCTCAGCTCACATGACAGAGTCTCACTGACATCTGTCCTTCACCTTCATCTCTGGCCTGGTTCTGAGGCAGGACCCCACATGGGGTGGGGTTCAGGCAGGCAGAAGAGAGAGGTGATGGAAAAAGCTCTGTCCTGTTGACTCAAAACCATGCACTTGAGCCCCAAACCAATCTTTCCAGCCTGAATATACCTCTTGCATCTTGGGCCAGAATGTGTGACTGACCCTCTTCCTTTCCTTCTCCCACGTGGGAAGTCAGACCTGGGTCCAAAGCAAGTCTTCACCATTGACTTAACCTTTCTGAGTGTGTTTCCACTTCTGCAAAATAATACTTCTTGGGGGTTACCGGGAGGATTACATCAGATAATATATGCCAAGTGGACCTGCTCTCAGCTCTGCAGATATTAGCAGTCTCTCTGTCCACTGCCAGGCTTCCCTTCACTCTGACATGGAGTGGGAGAGACAAAGAAAACTTTGTCCAGAGGAGCTGGTTCAAGATTCTCCTGCCTTACATAGCCCCATGATTGACATCAGAATCCCGGAGTGTTAGGGCGAGGGCGGATTGGATGAGCTATCAATCTACCTGCACTCTTTACAGATTTGGTGCCAGGCCAGAGGCAGGGACTTGTCTGGCATCATGAAGCTAGTTAGTGACCCAGCTGGAACCAGTGGCCAGGAGGCCTGACTTTCATGCCACATGATGGAAATAGATCCTGTTAAAAGACAGATCCATGGAAGGCTTTTGAGCCCTCTTCCTTGTCACAGGGAAATCACGAGCGGGCAGCCCGGCACTGCATTGGGGTGCCCAGACTCTGGACCCTGGGTGCCTGTGTTTGGCCCCGTCTCTGCCTATTACCAGCTAGGGGGCCCCACCGCGCCTCAGTTTCCTCACCTGAAAAAGACGGATGATGGCCCTGATACTGATACCCACCGTGTAGGATCACTGTAAGGATTCAGATGAGATGGTCCACGCAAAGGGCCCAGAACCGTGCCTGGCTTATAGGCTTGCTGCTTGTAGGAGCACAGCAAATGTCAGATATTGCTATCAATATATCAAAATAATGTCAATATCAGAATAATAGAGAAGTATCTAGAAAAAACTGAACTTCATATCTGGTGAATTTTAAAGGTGATCAGTTTCAACTTCCAGAGGATAAGTATGGCCTTTCATAGCAACATAGGCTGTGCCAATCACCTCCTGCCAGGCCCTTCCACATGCCAGAGGTAGCAAACTTATCATTATTTAAAGACATAATTAACATTTATTATAGCTAGCATATTAGGTTTTAGATAGGCCAAATGCGTGATACAATGGAGTTGTATTTTTATGTGCTGTCATGTATACTTTATAGTACATTGGGGCCCTTATATAATCCGTGAGCACTGCACTTTAATGCCTGTTTTATAGGATTTTTATAAGGGAGGTCAGATAGTGTGGAGGGAAGAGCAGTGGCCCAGGAGTTACCAGGCCTGATTAGAATGAAGGCTTTGCCACATAGTAACTGGGTGACCGTGGGCAAGCTACCCCCTCTCTTCATCCGAAAAATTCGGACACTGGGCTGGATGATGTCTAAGGATCCATCCAGCCCTGACAGCCTATGGCTGGAAGCAGAATCTTACAATTTTAAGTGATGATAAAGGTGTATGGGTGTTGAGCCTTTGTACCTATGACATATTGTTGGTCACATCTCTGATTTATTTGACGCTAAGTTCTTAGGAACACAACCCTCAATTATAAAACTATCTCTATTGGAAACTATGATCTGCTTTACAATATTCTGCTCTGCACGTGGCTACCCCATGCATTATGGGGAGAAGGAGGGGCTCCCTGCTTATAACACCCACTTCTCAGGAAATGAGCAAGTGACCTTCATGAGGTCGCTGAGACTGTCACTCAAGTTTTGCAATCCTTCGCCCTATAATTCCTAACAAGCATAGACTCTGATGGCCCCTTCCTCTGCAGATCAGAAGGGCAAACTAAAAATGAAGTATGTGAGCTGTGAGCGTCAAATACAAAGGACAGCTAAAGGGACAGCTGTGAGAGTATAACACCGCTGGAGGACTCCCCAAAACTAAGGAGCTGATGGACTGCACTGCTACACAGTTCAGAAATGGTGTCCAGAAGGAGAATCCTGAGTCATCAAGAAATGCGTGAATTCTGTGACCATCTTTTGCTTAAGGAGGAAAGGCAGGGTGTGATGTCTTTTAGAAAGAGTTCCATCAACATGGTTTTTAAAATTCTCCGCTCCTGGTGTGAGCTACCTTCGTGCCTGGGACCATGCTCCATGGACATCACTATACATGTGTCCCCAGGGGTTTGTGTGTCTAGGAGAATGCACACAGAAGTGCCAGAATAGTAAGTCCCTGGTGGGGTAGTTTTATGGGGCAGGCAGCCTTCCAGGTTTCCAGGAAGGATCTGAGTAGGATACAAAATAGACTTAATTTACCTTAAGTTGGCTAGCTTTCATTCATTCGTCCATTCAAAAATGTTTTTTTATTGAGCCCCTAATATGCGCCAGCACCACTTTACAGGCTAAGTCTGGAGTTTCAGAGAGGATCCCCTGTTCACATGGCGTTTTCCTCTGGCATGCCCACACAGTGTGCCGTCTTGTATCTCCAGTCTGGTCCTTGGGCCTTCATGCCCCCACCCTGGTCCTCTGAGGTGGAAGCTGCCTTCGAGCAGAATGGCTGTCCCCATAGGAATGAGTACTCCCTTTGGACAGGGGCTGTGTCTCAGCCCGCGGCCTGGGAGCCCTCCGCCACAGGGCTGGTCTCTGCCATGACCTCGGGACAGAAGAAGGTGGACTTCTGGCTCTCCGGGGGGCGGGGGCTGGTCAAGAAAGACTTCTTTTTCCTCGAGAGAAGTCTCCCTGGGTTCCTGAGCTGAGCACATACTTTCTCCGTGAGGGAGCAGGGCCAGGACAGAGGGGCGTCTCCCTGGGGCCTCACCTCCTGCACGTCACGGGGCTGGGAAGCGAGAGAAAGGAGCGGAGGGCCGGGAGACGCCGAGGTCCCACACTCGGGCCTCGCAGCCCTGCCCCCCAGGAGCGCTCGCTCCCGCAGCGGCAGCGCCCTGCAGCTCGGCACCCGCGGCGGCGGCGGCGGCGCGCGGCCAGTGGAGTGGGTGGTGCAGGGCAGGGGTGGTATATCCAGTCCGACCGAGGGCGGGCCTCGCCAGTGCCAGCACGGGGACGAGCCGGGGCGGAGGCGCCAGGAGCCGCCGCCGGGAGCCTCACCAGGACCACTCACTCTATGGCCCTCGGGAGTCGCTGAGCACAGCAGAGCCGCAGCCGCCCGCCCGCCGCCCCTCGCCGCCCCTCGCCGGCCCGGCCCGCGCCTCCCGCCGCCATGAACCACTCGCCGCTCAAGACCGCCTTGGCGTACGAATGCTTCCCGGACCAGGACAGCTCGACGCTGGCTTTGCCTTCGGACCAAAAGATGAAGACGGGCACGTCGGGCAGGCAGCGCGTGCAGGAGCAGGTGATGATGACCGTCAAGCGGCAAAAGCCCAAGTCTTCCCAGTCGTCCACCCTGAGCCACTCCAACCGAGGTAAAGGTTCGGCGCCCCGCGCGACCCGTGCGCCTCGGCCCCGCGCCCCTCGGCCGCGCGGCGGGG